GATGAAATGATAATGATATTGGGCACGTGAATTGTCCATGCAGTTGTGATATGAAATGAAGGCACGAGGTGCCGGAAAAATACGATGATTTAATTATGGGCACGAGGTGCCGTGAAAATATGAAAATGGGCCGAGACCTATATTTACGAAAATTATGAAAATAGGCTGAGACCCGTATTTTGATGATTTTGAAATGAGGTGTCACATGGTGACTTTTTAATTGAAAGAATTATATTCAAAATATTTATTTGGAAGGATTTTTACTTAGAAAGTATTATATAAAAGAATTGTATTTTGAAAGATATTTATTTGAGCAAATTGTATTTGAAAAGATTTATTGAAAGAATTATATTTGAAAAATAATTATTTGAGAAAATTATATTTGAAAGAGAGTTATCTGGAAGAACTATGTGAAAGACATTAATTTGAAGGGCTTGATTTAATTGGGTGTAATTGTGTTTATTAATTGTTGAGTGATATTAATGGTATTATTGTTGTCTGTTGTGCATATCACCGGTTGTTTTATCCTGCCTTTATTATTATTTATTTCCTATTATTTCGTATATAATATTGCACAGGTTATTAGACTAGTGAGTGTCTTGACTGTACCTCGTCTCTACTCCATTGAGGTTAGTCTTGATACTTACTGGGCACCGCTGTGGTGTACTCACTCTACACTTCTACACATTTTTGTGCAGAGCCAGATATCGAAGATAACGGACTTGAACAGAGTTAAAGCGGGATTGTAAGGATTCAAGGTAGAGCTGCTTGGACGTCGCAATCCCTTGGAGTCTTTTCATTTCATTGTACTGTTAATTTGTAATCAAACAGTATTGTATATTCGGTCCTCGAGATCATTCCATATATTCATTTAGAGTTCGTGACTCAGTACTACCAGTCTTGGGAGGTTGTATATTCATATTTATTCAACTGTTAGTTTTGGTTACTTATAAAAAAAAATGCTTCAAAATGTAATAAAAACCGGCTTACCTAGTCTTAGAAACTAGGTGCCATCACGACACATGTGGTGGGATTTTGGGTCGTGACATTTGTCTAGTATGAANATATAGAGAGAGAGAGAGAGAGAGAGAGAGAGAGAGAGATTATTGCCTCTACAGTCTAAAGGTCTTAGGAAGATAGTACTAATCTTTGAACTTGCTTCCTTGTACAAAATTTATTAATGTGTAGAATGGTCCGTTTGCAAATTTGATGTAAGTTATAGTATAGCCCCAAATTATTATGCATATCAATACATATAAAAAAAGAAAACATCGCTAGATATAGCTTTGGTTGATTTCAATCATGTTTGTACAATTTGAATTTGGTTTTCAAAGACAAAGCACACGAAGTACATTTCTTACGTATTAGCCGTCTTTTTCGGACCTTTTCATTGAATTGATATTTGAAGGGAAAAGAAACTTCTCTAGGTATACGAGAAAGAAGATTTTTGATAGAGCACTATAATTTAGAGCCTAATAATTATAGTTTGCCTAACTATTATTTGTAGCTATAATTGGTATCAGCTTGTATAACTTGTATTCAAGCGTGCAACAAATACAATATGCGTCAATTGTATTCGTTCGAATAACAAATACAACATGTATCAACCGTATTCGTTCGCGCAATTGTATTCATTCAGGCAACGAATACAACATGTATCAACTGTAACCAAGGTAAAATATAAGGGTGTATACAAAGGATACAACATGTATCAACTATGTACATGAGTGTATACAAAGGATACAACATCTATCAACTGTATTCATACGTGCAACGAATACAACCAACGCGAATATAGAAATACAAAAAAATAAAATGCTCTTGTTGAGAGTCGAACTCAAGACCTCAGCTAACTAAATAGACGCTCTAACCAAATATAGCTACGGATTTGCTATAAAATTCAAATATAGCTACAGATGAAAAATTTGTTGAAAGTATAGCTACAAATGGTAAATACAATATATATGTTTGATGTGTTTCGTAATTTTTCCATACAAGAACGCCATAAGGTTACTTTTAGCAGTCATAATGTTTTACATTGACTGGATTGAATAATCTCATGAATATTTGATAATGAAGCAAATGGGAGGTGAAATAAAGGTAAAGTATTTTTAAATTTGAAACAAGTCAAGTCTTGACCTAATGGTTAACAAGTCAATACGAAGATTCTGACATGTAGAAGTATTAGCTTCAAATTTCACCATCGTATGAGTATTGTGGTTGAATTATATTCCTATGTTAATATTCTTCCTACTAATATTTGTTCTATAAATATTGTAAATGTATTTCTTTGTAAAAAATAATTTAAATATCTTCTTACCCTTGTCACAAAAGAAAAGGGTAACAAGTATCTCAAACTCAAAATTAGACGCTTCCGTTTGAAAGAGGCTCTTCTTCCCTGCCTTTATACTTTTCTAGGCCTCCTAGAAGTTGAGACTGAACTCTGGGCTGATTGTGTTGCTTCTTGGTTTGCTCAGTACTGGGCTTTTATTAGTGCCATCGCTCTGGACGTGTAACAACGCGATAAACAGGTTATGGGCTCACTGCTTCCTATTGGTCGAAATGACACCAGGTAGCCACTCTAAAGGACAGCTATTTAGGAATTAGCCAATAATTTAACTTCTATCCACCGAATGTAGAAATTGCTTGACCCACTTTGGACCAGGAGAAGTTTTGCTTAAATAATACTGTTTCAGTTTCAACGAACACTCTTTCTAACGTATATTCCAAATATAAAAAGAAGCTAGAGTGTATTCGTTAATATAAAAAATGACATTTTAAGGTTGGAGAACAATTTTTTAAACTAGAGAATAAGAAAAAGACCAACTCCTTTCATCTGAAAAAAATATCATGAAGTTTTGATATACGAAAATCAGAAAATTTCGTAAGAATTGTTGTTTAATGGGTGATTGTATCTGTGATTTTCTAAAGTTCAAAAAGCAAAAAAAAAGGAAGTGACAGCCTGAGACAATGAAATTAAAATATGAAAAAGGTTTCTTCAGCTTTTACAAAAGTGATTTTAGCATATTAAGACCTAATAATTCCATAAATGAGAATCTTTTTTAGATCCCCAGAAAATTTCCACTGGCCCATCTGGTACACAAAAGAAAAAAGAAAAAAAAGGCACTAAACCAGTTAATTTTATCACTCTTTCAATCCGTTTGGATTAGCTGATCGTAAATAGCTGATAAGTTTGAAGTGTTGAAAAGTTTTAAACTGCGAAAACTGATTTTTAAAATAAGCATTTACGTGTTTGGATACAAGTGTTGAAAGTGATAATAAACAATTAATGTATTTGATAAAAAAATGCCGATAAACTATTCTTTTGTTAAAATGACAAAAATACCCATGATTTTTTTTCAAAAGAATATAAATTAAAAAAAAATCTTTGTAAAGAAAAGAATTAACAATGAATATGAGAAATTTATTTTGGGAAAAGTATTTTGTGAATTAGACAATATTATTAAGGATAAACTTGTAAAAGTGTTGGTCAAACTAAAAGTGCTAAGGTGAAAAGCTATAAGTTGGGGGTGACCAACTTATGACTTATGACTGATTTTAACTTATAAACACTTGACTTATAATCACTTTGAGTGTTTACCAAACGCGTAGATAAGTCAAAAAATACTTATAAGTTAGCTTATAAGCGAAGCGGTCTAAATAAGTACCTTTGACTTTTGCTCTGCCCAATTCATTCGCCTTTTCTTTTCTGCTCCTTTAGTTGTTTTTCTTCTAATTAACCCCAGCACTGAAAAAAGCCCAATGATCTTAATTTCTCTAGTTAGAATTGTACTTGTAGCATCTTTCTACTTATTTGTTTACCACGACTTTCGATAATTAGGTTTTGCTAATATGCAATTTTGTACACTTAACATGAATGAGAACTGAGAAGACAAGGTAGTACACCTATGTTTATCAGCTATTAGTAATAAGTTCTCAAGCTTTAATATATAGTAATGAGTTCTGTCCACTAATCGGAAAGTATTTATACGCTTAGTTTCTAAAAATTCGGCTAAAGTGGTTACACTAAATATGTGAAGTTAACCTAGATAGGTGGTGGATTATCATATCGCGATCTATTGGGACTAAACGATAAAAAGGAAGGGAATTTATTTTCTTGAAAACTGTTTCTTAGTTAGGACTTGAGGGAGAATGTCCAAATTCATAATTCTATTTCACAAAAGTCTCTAAAAAAACCACTTTATTCTTTAGCATCTATTAAATTATTTACTTGCTATTAGTGCTTTTTCAATCTTTTCTTTAGCCAAGGGTTTTTCGGAAATAGTATATTTGTCCTTCCAGGGTAGGGGTAAGGTTGCGTACATACTACCCTCCCCAGACTCACTTGTAGAAATACATTGGGATGTTATTAGTGTTATGTATTAAATTATCCTTTCGAAAGATTTGCGTGATATTCCTGATTGTAAACAAAATGATCGGTGAGCGGAAAGGAAATAAAGGAATGTCAAAATAGATTTTTCTCGGTGCTATAGTAATTAAAGCCATTATAGGGCAAAATTTGGGGGAAGGACAAAGGAAAGAAGGATGCAAAATGGTGAGAGTTTTCTATTTTAATAGCGTTTGGTTCATTGTATTGAAGTGCAGCTGAACCTTGAATACAACGATCACCACTTAAAACTGTTCGTGTGATTCATATTCTTCTGATTCTGGTTTTTCTCTCCTTTTCTACAAAAGCTACTATTTTTCTCAAATTGCCTATGTCAATCTTTTTTATTTGGTATCTCTAATTTGAGTTGAGCATTTAGGTTGAAATCACTGGATAGCTATCAAAATATGCAGGAAAGAAAGCTAGAAGCTCAGAAAATAACTTAATTGACCTGCAGATGTAAACAGAAAGCATGAGATATCAAGAAATGGAGGGCTTAAAGTAATTCTCCTATCCTTTCTTGACTTTTTAAGCATACATCGAGAGAAAAATTGTTCAAAAATAATATACAGTCGTTGTTGAGACCGCATGCACTTAACATGGACAAAAGCAGTATAAGTAAAGCTAATGTTTTTTTTTTTAATACGAACTTTTTTAAGTTGATGCAGGCAACAAGATTATAAACTAGAGGGCAGTTTCAAACTATTAGATCTTCCCAGATGGGAAAACAAAATTTGAAGTACACAACAATAAGGGAACTTAGTTTGAAATATCAAAAACTCAACTCTAAATAAATGCCAAAAAGATAGCCTCATGGAATCTCTAGCTTCATAGTTCCCCTAAAGCTCCATCTCAAGCTTCTGTTTAATGAGACTTCACGTACTCTTGGACGATATGGAGACCCTCAGTCTCTTCCCCATAATCCTACAGAATCAATCAGAAAATTCATTACGATGGAATACAAATTCCACTTTGGCAACTCATCAGCTACTGTTCATGTAAAGTTAAAGGATATATAAGATGTACCTTCACGACAACACAGCCACAACCAACAACCTTCCTTGCTTTCCCTTCAGAATCAATCTTGCATAACTGTAATCGAAGAAAGTTCATAGTGAATGAGTGATTGGATTTTAATTTACATGATACACATCAACAAAAATGCAAAATACAGAACACTTCAAAGAGAAGTCAACAAGTTAATAATCGGAACCCTCCTCTGTCTCTCCACTCAGTTAGAAGTGCGAAAAATACATAGGACTATCAAACACAATAACTCAGGTCAAGAATGAGGTTAAGGTAGTCATGGCATTCTAAGGATTACCTATCACAAGTTGGCAAAACCCTTCACCTCCTAAAAGATGGAGTATCTAGTAAAATCACATCAGAAAACAACTACTCAAGGACAGTAAAGACTGATATACTGTAACTGGGGCAGTAGATAAACAATCATCAATTACTTACACCAGCCCATTCGCCAAGAGTTTTTGCATTTGGAACTGTAATCAAACTGATATTGTGATCAGCACAAAGTGTTTTCACCAGCTTGACGTAATCCAGCTGGTCGCAGTCCTCTGCTAACACACAAAGTTGTGCAGCATGCTTCTCAATCACCTTTGCACCTTCATGGAGTCCTCGAGCAAGTCCACCATGAGCTCTAGACTTCCTAAGCACCAGCTGCAAAGCGGTCATGATGTCCATGGGCTCCCCAAGTGCTGGAGCAGGAGTCTCGGCAGCGGTAACAGCAACAGCAGCATCCTCTCTACAGTTATACAAATGTCAGCTAGATAACACCTTATATTGAATTTCAGGAAATTGAGAGTTTAAAGTAATTCTCCTCTCTTTTATTGGCCTTTTAAGCATGCACATAGAGAAAATCATTGTTCGAGGAATGCTTCCCAGTTTTAAGATAAAAAATGACTAGGAAGAAACCACAAATCAATGCTACGGTTATCTTTTGGAAACATTTGTGTTGATTGCATAACATCCAGTGTAAGAAATATAATAGGTACTACTTCAGAAACTATACAGCAAGTGTTGAGATCGCATGCCAATGCTAATATTATTTTTTTGAAAATGCGACTTCTTTAGCTGATGGGCAACAAGATTATATACTAGAGAGCAGTTTCAAACTATTAGATCTTCCCAGATGGGAAAACAAAATTTGAAGTACACAACAATAAGGGAACTTGGTTTGAAATATCAAAATCTCAACTCTAAATAAATGCCAAAAAGATAGCCTCACGGGAACTCTAGCTTCATAGTCCCCTTAATCTCCATCTCAAGCTTCTATTTAATGAGACTTCACGTACTCTTGGACGATATGAAGACCCTCAGTCTCTTCTCCATGATCCTGCAGAATCAATCAGAAAATTCATTACGATGAAATATAATTCTAGTTTGGCAACTTATCAGCTACTGTTCATGTAAAGCCACAGGATACAGGATGTACCTTCACAACAACACAGCCACAACCAACAGCTTTCCTTGCTTTCCCTTCAGAATCAATCTTGCATAACTGTAATCGAAAAGATCATAGTTAATGAGTGATGGATTTCGATTTACATGATACAGTTCAACAAAAATGCGAACTACAAAATACTTCAAAGAGAAGTCAACAAGTTAATAATCAGAACCCCTCCTGTGCCCCTCCACTTCACTCAAATACAAGTGCAAAAAAGCATAGGTCTGTTAAACACGATCAATTAACCAAAGGTTAGAAGATGATTAACCAAAGGTTAAAAGATGATCCAGGTCCAAAATGAGGTTAAGACTTCAGTCACAGCATTCTGGCGAATGGTGATTATTAACCACAAATCCCTAAAACCCTTCCACTCCGAAAACATATACAGTAAAACACACATTCCAATTTCATTTTCACAGCAGAAAGCAGCTATTCAAGGACACTAAAGTCTGATAATACATTAACTAGAGTGACAGATAAGCAATAATCAATCACTTACACCAGCCCATTCACCAAGAGTTTTTCCATTGGGAACTGTAATCAGACAAACATTGTGATCAGCACAAAGTGCTTTCACCAGTTTGATGTTATATGTCTGGTCGCAGTCCTCAGCTAACACACAAAGCTGCACAACATGCTTCTCAATAACCTTTTCACCTTCATGGAGTCCTCGAGCAAGTCTACCATGAGCTCCAGACTTCCTGAGCACCAGCTGCAATGCATTCATGATGTCCATGGGATCAGGAGTCTCGGCATCAGCAACATCCTCTTGACTGAACAACACACACTAAAATTTCTATAAACCACAAAATAAAAACCAAATTAGCAAAGCAAGAAAGAACGATCCGTCATCACACAATAATGGGATATGAGACAATACCACATGAATCTCAAACTTTGGCCTCATAAAGAAAACAGACATTTTAAAAAAATGGCTCTACAACAAGTTTTCCTTCAAATGAAAGAGGAAATACAAAAAAAATAAGAGTATCCAAACAACATGCAATTTATGCAAGTGAGACAATCTTTTATTCTTATGACAAACTTTATCAAAATCCAGATAGAACGGTCTATTCAGCTAAAGATTAAGTGGTCAACCAAAAGTGAAATTTGTCATATGGTTTAGGTTCTGCTTTTGGGGAAATCACAGTTTAGCAATGTGTAGTTTTAAATAGAAAATACCCCATGGATACGAAAAGTTGAACAGAATTGCAGCAGCTGACCGAAACACCATTGTAGGTTAGTGGTGTTTGGTTCTGTTTCAAGCAATTGATATTAAAATACCTAGCCCTAGATGGTTCTGATAATTGGGCTCGTGATAAACCATTGGAATAACTACAAACTCATTTGATTTCACAAAAAGTTTCCGATAATTGATTCATGCAAACACACAAAAGATTTGCATATTTTAATGCAAGGGCTGTTCATTATAGTAGATCAAGACAAATTAATCATGTCTTAAAAATCTGTCACGTGTCTAAATTACTAGAAGAGGAAAAGATAGCAACTTTAACACGAAAATGACTTAAGCAAACTGAATTTTAACAAGAAAGTTATACAAACCTCTGCACTTACACCTGCCAATTTTTCTTTCTTGGTAAATGTTAAATCCAAGACCTAGCACCTGTTGTTTCCAATAGTTGAAGACAAAACTCAGTCAGGTAAACAGAATGAAGAATAGACTCCATTATCCTTCATTCTAGATATATCATGACAACTCATCAAAATCCGCCCCAACAAAAAGTGATTTGACAAAAGTGGAAATAAACATGCAGGATTTCAATCTGTCAAATGCAATGGCATAACAATTCAGTGGAGACAAAGCTTTCTGATCTTACTAGTTTGGACACTGCAGTAAAGGCTAAGGAGGCGCCAGGGAACAAGGACTCTCTCAAAAGCTTATATAAGATAACTGCCTATCAAATAAATTATTTACATAAGAGGATCAAAGCAGCAACCCTAATTACTAAATTACCCATATCTCATTTTCTTCTCTCAAAATTTCTCCTTCACTAATAAAATCAAAATAGTCTCTCAATCATATAACAACAACAACAACAACCCAGTAAAATCCCACAAAGTCTCTCAATCATATGAGTAGTTTATTTTGGTCCTTATTATACAACTTGAAATATTAAAAGCTTTTAATGGTTCACAGAAGTAGAACACTTTTAGTTCATGTCTAACGGAACTCTAGATAAACAACAAAAAAAGCTCAACAATACCTTAAAACTAACGGAAACTAGAGTCAAGGAGACAAATGTGGTGAAGTTTATCTCAACACTTGCTGCAGATAATGATAAACATTGTTGCATGTGTTGGTAGCAACTTTCTCTTCTGGCAAATTCAGTAGAAGAGCAAACCTTTGAAAACCAATGTTCCCTGGAGGCCTGGACAAAGAATCGAATCTCCCCAACTCCGGCTTCACATCTTACTTGGAAAGCGTAGGTGGACATCAAGCACATTGCACTTCCCAGATTGCCAAAGGACGCATGTAACCCATATATCTGTATCCACCCTTGGGAACCTTCGGTGTCCGAAAAGAATAGCTGTCAGAACTCAGAAGAGTTTAGTATGCAAGGAATAAGGAAATCTTGCAAATGCTGAAACATGCAGACCTTTTGAATACCTAAATATTAAATTTAGGCATCAATACATTTATTTAGTAGGACAAACTATAACTGTGAAAAATGACTTTTCATATTAAGGTTTTATGCACTTGCTTCATCCTGATTGCAAGTGGCAAATATCTATCCAATACTTGGTCTACCCTTGCCAAATCACAATTTTCATCAAACAGTGAATACTTTCTAGCCATAAGCATCCCAGGACTCTCAGAAAGCAAGAGACTACTGGGGAAAACAGAGTACCGAATTTTTCAGACTGTTATGGGTGAGAATTGTCACCCAGCTAAAAGTATTTGCATTCCCACGTCTCTGACTTGTTTTAATCAGTGTTTTGTTTCTACTTCCATGGTTAACTAATATATGTTTTGTTTGATCTTACACGTTAAAGTTTAGTACAAGCATACCTCCTCTTCTCCCAGAGAGCTCCTAACTTTGTCTCTTGCTCCCTCCGATCTCTCAGCAATCTATCAAAAAAGAAAATTCAGTAACCACCAACAATAGTCATTAATCTTATTGCAGTCTCTGTTTCAGTTTAAGCGAACTAATAATAATTTGACAAAAACACCAGTTCAAGCCTTGAAAAGTATTAGCTCAGCTCTAGCGGAACATAGGCTTCGTGTTAAAGTGCCATCATTTTCAAAGCATAGAATAAACACAAGGATAGCTCTAGAAAAGAAACAAGTCCTTTCAACAACAGTTTAATTTATATTTAAAAAATCAAAAACTATAACGCTTCTCAGCTTTCCCATTGGAACCACTGAAGAGTGCATGAATATATTAAATCAAGGAGTTATGAACTAAAATAGGATAAAACGTGTAAAATGAAAAAAAAAAAATGATTCAATCACTCGGACTCATTTCTTGGGGTTGATTAGGGTGTATTCTAGATAAGTGATCAGGCATCTGGAAGAGTAGCATGGACTACTGGTTATTAAGAACAAATATCAAAATAAGCAAATTAACATAAAACCCACATTCAACATGGCCTCAAATAGGTCGGTGACAAGATAACAACTATTCTAGACCACTAAAAGAGTTCTTTGCGTGCATTGACGTATTTCAAAGACCAAAACTTTCCCAACATTATGAAACATACCATTAGTGCCACCCGTTTGACATCATACGCTTGAACAGTTGGTGAAGTCGCAACCGCCACTCAGTTCAGAAGTCATTTACATTTCCAGGTTCAAAACACATTAAAAATGAAGTTAATGGGAAATAAAAACGAAAAGGAAAAGAAAATAATAACGAATAAGAAAGATAAAATTCTATTATCAAAGACACTTCTTTATTTACAGCACCCAATTACATGCAAGTACTCAATTTTATGTACAACTTCAATCATCCGCAGAAAGTACCTCCAGACTCCCAAGTGTGCCCTCTAGTCTCCTAAGTGTGTCTCTATTCTTCAAACTTCAACTATCAAAGACACTTATTTATTTACAACACCCAATTACATGCAAGTACTCTTCTTTATGTACAACTTCAATCTTCAATCATCTGCACAAAGTGCCTCCACTCTCCTAAATGTGCCTCTAGTCTCCTAAGTCTGCCCCTAGTCTCCAGGGCATTATAGCATGATCAAGAACCTTTGCATGAGTGTCAGCAGATGAATGAGCCACTATATCCTTTAGTGCTGCCTGTGCATGAGCAATCTGAAGCTTAACTTTCTCAATTGCTAATGAATGGTGTGGTAGCTCTTTCTGTGCAGCGACCAAGTGCATAGCTGCTGCCTCCATTGCGACTAGTGCAGAATCAATAGCTATAGAAATAGTGCTACCAGCAGAGAGAGATGCAGAGGCATCAACAGAAGTGGCACCCATAGCAGAGGAATCTATGGTATGGTCAGCCAATATAGGGGTAGGGTCAGTCATGGTAGGGCCAACCACAGCAGAGGCACCACAAATAGTGGTAGTGGTGCTAGGGTCAGCCATAGTGATAGCATCACTGGTAATGGCAGTGGTAGTGGTGATGCCGCTGGCATTGATAGAGGCAACTTTCACCAGCGCCGCCGGAACCAATGCCGCCTCAGCAGGCGTAGAGGCATCAGAAGGAGTGGCAGTGACACTAGGATCAGCCACATCAACAGTGGTAATGGCGGTGGTAGTGGTGATACCGGTGGCACTGATAGAGGTAGCCGGAGGTATAGGAATAGAGACAGCTCCCACCAGCGCCGCCGGAAACAATGCCGCCTCAGCAGGCGTTGGCGACAGTGCAGGATGCGCCGGCACCGATGAAGACTCCACATGTGCCGACTCCACATGTCCGGGGAGCTCAAGGTGCCGTCGGAAGCACCTTGTGCCGTCGGTACAGCATCCACGTAGGAAAGCTATGCACAACGGCACCTACAATATCGACAAAATAATAAAAAGAAGTTGTGGAATTAATCGACAATCCGAATTGTCTTACCTTTTCCACCGAGAAGCGGGTATCATCCTCACCGTGTAAAAACTAAGGTCAAAATAGTAATTTGACCGATTAATTAAAAAATATTTAAAATTTTAGATAAAATTATTTAAAATAACGCATACTTTGCATTTGTTACCGTAGTCGCACTCCCTTTTCGCCAACCAATACCTGCACATTGCTCTATACGACATTTTCCTGTAACAATCTAACACAAAAACTTATACCACTACATAAGAATCTCCACCACATTCTCAACGCAAATAATTAAATCAATCAATATAATATGTAACATTATATATATATATATATATAACACAAAATACTAAAGTAAAATAGAAAACAAACCCTAGAAAAAAGTGAGTAATGACAGATAATATGAGTACTAGAGAAGTTAGACACATTGTTCTAGACGACATTTTCCAATAACAATCTAACACAAAAACTTACACCACTACATAAGAACAACGCAAAGAAATAAATCAATCAGTATAATTGGTAACAATATATATATATATATAACACAATAACAACAACATACCCAGTATATTCTCATGTGTAGGGTCTGGGGAGGGTAATGTGTACGCAGACCTTACTCCTATCTTATGCAGGTAGAGAGGCTATTTCCAAGAGACTCTCGGCTCAGGCAAGCACAGTTACAGCAGTAAAAAAATTGAACTATAAAAAATAGTAGAGCTGCAAACTACAGTCAACCCTCTCTATAATAGCTTCGTTTGTTCCGATATTTTTTAGTTTTTATAATGAATGGATGTTATACACCTATAACAGCATTTGGCGTTTAAATATTTTTTGGTTGTTATAAATAAAAATTATCCAAAAATTGATTATTTTTCCTTTTCTAATGTTACATATAAATGATAACAAAATTATGCAAATCTAAAATCTTAAAAGCTATGCAGATTTCACTAGTTAAAATATTGAAGAAAGCTAATACATTATTAATAAATTTATAACTAAACGTATAAAGATTTAAACTCTAAGGCAGACATTTTAAAGCTACCTAGAAAAATAATTTCTTTCAAAATTGACGGAATAACTTTATAATTATAACTTGTTTCATAAATTTTATTCTCTCCCTAACAATATAACGCTTGAATTGACAAAGGTTTATGTCCAAATTTTCAGCAAAGAGGGATCCCACAGTTTTACCTTGAAGACAATTGAAGAGCTTAACAGTTAAATTTTCTATCTAAATATTTTTTGGAATTTGTCTAATGGAAAAGATATCATGTGCAAATCTTCAAATCTTATATCTTATGCAAGATAGAAACTTTGTTTAATGGAAAATATTGTGTACATATTTTTAGAATTATTATTAGTAATCTTAAAAAATTTATACAGTTGTTATAGAGGAGTAATTTTACAAAGAGCATTCTGCTATAAATATGGTTGTTGTTGTTATAGGTAAAAAGCTGTTATAAAAAGGTAAAATATAACTTAAAAAATCGGTTCCAAGGAAAACTTGACTTTTATAGTGAATGACTGTTATATAAGGATGTTGTTATAGAGAGGTCTGATTGTATCATATATTAATAATTGAGTGCTAAACAATATACTGCAAAAGAGGAGAAAAGAACACAAACATTTATATTGCATTAATATTACCACCCTGTCTTTTCAACAATTTGTTGCTCATGTGGGCTTCAACTTATATGGATGCACAACCAAATACAACTAAACATAGTCAAGAAGTCAGAACAATAAGACATATGATATACTTAAAGCTACAATATTCCACCAGCAAAAACGTTTGCAAACTCAATAAATCTTGTAAAATCAACTTCAAATTAACTAATTCTTGAAAAGAAAAGGATTTTACTTATTAAGAAAATTCTCATAAAGGAAAAGGTTAAATCCAACCGCTATATATTCTGATATACACTGTTTAAAAGACAATGATGTCAAATAAAATTAGAAATAAGTAGAAACCTTAAATACTAAAAGTAAATTGTTACCAGAACAAACACTGTTTTGATAGGTAACATGAAAAAAACATGAACAGAACTACGTTTAGCCTGGATATTTGTATGCACATATATCTAATGTCAGTTAAGCCAAAACCTAGACTAATGGGTTGCCACTTTCAACTAGTTTAGATACATAGATCATCAATCAAGAAAGCTGTGCTTAATTCATATATTAAACGGATGTATCACCCCTAGATGCTAAATGCGTAATCCTTAAATTATGGTATGGATCTATTGGAGCAATGCCTTCTTCTTTTGCATTAACCATAATGTACCAAACGGAAACAATTACCTAGACCTACTAAAAGGTTTAATTCCTTTCGTAGCGTAACAAGAAAGTACTTGAATTTTCTTGTAATCACACCTTATCAATTTTCTACCTGTCTATCTTTATCTTGAATGAAACATCTAATGTCTTCACGAACAGACTTGAATCGAGTCTCGCCTCTCTTTAAAGTATTTGAGGGCATATTTGTGGTAGTAAAACATAGACCAAGACCATACACTACTAGAAATTCGGGAAAAACCGTCAAAAAAACCTACCAAAATTAGTCGGTAATGGCCAATAACCGTCCAAAACGTGACCATTAACGTGTGGTCGGTATTTTGAAGGTCGGAAGGGCATACCGACCAAAGTTGGTCGGAAATTAGCGACCAACTTTGGTCGGTCTATTAAATTCAAAAAAAAAAAATGCCGAAAAAACCGACCAAAGTTGATCGGTATTTTAATTATATAATTAAAAAATGCACCATCTGGGAATCAAATCGGGGTATGTACTGTGGCAGGATACTATTCTACCACTAGAACATTTGGTGCATTTTATTTTAAGACTGTCTTTTATTTCATTTATACTCTTTAATTGTAAATAATGTGAGTACCGGAGAAGAACAGCAGAACTTGAAGCGAGCAAAGAGAACTCNTATATATATTACACAAAAATCTAAAATACAAACCCTAGAAAAGAGTGAACAGATAATGTGAGTGCCGGAGAAGAACAGCGAAACTTGAAGCGAGCAGAGAGAACTCACTAGAGCAGCAAAACGTGAACCGCAGAGAGACGAACTCACATCGGAAGCGAGCGACTCTCACATCGGAAGCGAGCGACAATGGGGGAAATTTCAAATTTTTTCAGGTGGGAAGGGTATTTATAGAGGTTCGGCAGAAGTCCGGAAGCTTTTTAGTGATTATTGTGAATAGGGTGTACGTAGCTTATATGGATTCCTTGAAATTTTTCAATTATCAAACCAAATTTGTGTCACATTTTTTAATTTATAAACCAAACCAACAAAGTTGAATTTTTCAATCTTGATTTTTTTTGAATTTTTCAGATTTTTCGAATTTTTTCTCGTAAAGTCTTCATAACATAAAATATATAACTCGTCCTCCAAATATTTCTTATGTCCTACTAAAAAATAACTATATAATGTGTTTTCCAAGAAACTAACACAATAATATGAGATAAGTCATAGCATTATACTAAAATATTTAATAACAAAAATAAAATAATAAAATTACATAAAACAAATATTTGTAATGAATAAGCCATAATGAAAATTAATATAATCTAAAAATACTATATATGTCATGCTAAAATAAGTATAGCTAATAAGTACTAATATTAATTACATAATTAAGCACTAAAGAAAAAGATAAACTAAGTTATATATTTTCATTATAAACCAATATAAAACTAAAATAATTATCCAACACTATCGTCATTCCTAGTATCGCAAAAAATTTAAGAAATATTTATAAATTACATTATAATAAATATTTATGTGTATAAAATATTTTTTAAAATTATATAAATGTACTATCGGGTTGGTTTGGTTTCGGTTTGACTTTTTTTAGTTAAAACCAAACCAAACTAATTATGGTCGGGTTTTATTTTCCAATACAAAACCAAATCAAATCAAATCACATCGAATTTTTTTTCCGATTTGACTCGAATTATCGGTTTGGTGCGGTTTATCGATTTTCTAATTGTGAATGACTTCTCCTTGCAGTTCTTCCATTTTACTTCTTTCTAAAAAAATAAATAAAATAAAAAAAGTTATTCCATTTTACCTCTGTCTTGTTTTCACCCTTCCATTTACTTCTACATCGGTCGAGGGTCAAACA